TCACGGCGAGGAAACATGTTGCGGTGGAGTGTCGCGGCGATGCATTGTAGCGAGCCAACTTTGCGTTGCGGAGGTGTGAGCGGCGACGAGTTGCGGTGGAGCGTGGCGAATGAGCGATTGGCGACGGAGCTCGTGGCGGGTGGAGCATCGCAGTGAGGCGTCACGACGGGCGATGCGTTGCGGCGGTGCGTCGGGGCGATGCGATGCGTTCCGACGGTGTGTCACGACAACGTGCTAGCGAAGTATCACAATGGCGCGATGCGTTGGATGTCCAATGTCATGAAAGAAGGTAGTGTGGAGTCATCAGCTGATTCAGGATTTCTCAGAAGAGAATCATTCTACGCAGCGATGAATAGTTGCAGTGCAGAGTTGCGACAAAGAGTTACAGTGCCAAATTGCGGTGACGAGTTACGTTGTAGAGTTGAGATTCCGAGTTGCGACGCAGAGTTGCGGTCCAGAGTTGCGGCAAAGAATTGTGGTGCCGAATTGCAACGCAGAGTTGCAGTGTCGAATTACGGTGCAGAGTTACTATGTCAAGCTACGATGCAACGGTGCATAGTTGCGGCGCAGAGTTGTGGTCTTGAGCTACAGTGCAGAGTTGCAGGGCCGAGTTACGACGCAAAGTTGTGGTACCGAGTTGCAGTACCGAGTTGCGGCGCATAGGAATGTTATCCCCGTCCTGCATAGTAGGCAAACAACGTGATTTTCTTTCTTGTTGTGGTGTAGTTCGAAGGTAATGAAGAAATATTGTAGTTTTCCAATTGCGCTTTGAGGGGAAGATTTTCATGCTTATGTGGTGGCAATATCTGGAGACCCCCTGATAATCATCAGAAGTACTAGAGTTTTGGGGAGGCGATGCCGACTCTACTCGAAGATGAGCTGATCTGTTGGAGCCCTTATGTTGGTACTTGTAGTATTTTTAATCATCTGATGTAACATTTATAAATGATGATAATGTATTTCTTTGTACGTTTTTTGAAGTTGCTTCTGAGGCTTTTGTGGTTCAAGCCTTCCCAAGTTGTGCCCCCTTGGACTTGTGCGTTATAGGAGCTTGAACCCGGTATCTTCTTTGGCCTATATTCTTTTGAGGTCTTCGAGTAGAGACACTGTCAACCACTTGCTCTCATGGAGTATTTATAGTGAGGACCCTGTCCACTGCTAGTATCCGATCAAGATTTGCCTCTTGGGCTTGTCTTCTAGGGGCATGATAGCTTCTCATTGAGTCTTACCCCTTGAGCTTGACTTTCAGGGGCATGGTTGAAAAGAGAATCCAATATGGATGTAAGATCGGTTCTGAGTTGTATAACCAGAGATGCTCGACGATATTAACCCGTAATGAACAGAGTCATATGAAATCCACTGAGGATGGTTGACCTATCCTAGGTTGTTGGTCGAAGCTTTTGCTTGACGACTGTAACATGTTATGGAAGAGATCGAAGAAAATCTACCAAGGATTTTTGACCTATCTGAGGTTGTATGTCGAAGCTTTTGCTTGACGACTGTAGCCTCTAATGGAAGAGGTCGAACCAAGTCCTCTAGGGATTGATTAAGCCTAGGATGAGGTGTCAGAGATGCTTTGCGTTTCTCGAGACTATGGCGTAGGTCGCAATGGACCGTATATTTTCTTGGAAATATGATTGTTGTCGTACTCAAGAAAATATTTGACAACTTGCTAGTTGCTGCTTTTGAATCTTTTGCTCTTCTAACAGAGGTATTTCTATACAAACTTGTAAAACAACATAAGTATTGGGCCTTGAAGAGATCAGCTTCCTGGTCTAGCTGAAAAGGAACTTCAATACGATGAGGGGAGGGGACACTGGACACTGAGGAAGCGTTTTTTGCAGTGAAGATTGTCCCCCCAGTCCAGGAAAGATTCTCGAAGACTTGTAATATAAATAAAATATGGGATGACTTCACCACAGTCGTGCCGGGGACGTTGACATGAACGAACTTCTGACACTGCAGTGAAGGTTGCCCCCCAGCCTAAAAGAATGCTTCTGAGAAGATCTTCAAGACGTAAAAGAGGTTCCTTAGCCAGTTGGATAATATACATCATTGGGAAATGAAGAAAGAGATCAACTTCTTAGAGTTGAAGACAATGTCGAACATGACTTCGTTCCCCCCAAACGACGCCAAATTGATGCGTGCCAGAAAATTTGCCGCAGTAGAGTAATGGATTATCGTCTTAGCTTTGCACGGGGATTCAACACACACTCAGAGGAAAGATAATCAACATGTGATGACATCATAAGTTTTTACATGGAAAACCTGTAAAGAGAAAAAAAACCATGGGGTCTGGCCCAATTATAAAAATTTCACTATAAGTTGATGATTACAGAGGCACCTTGTCCCACGGAAGGGAAATGGTAACAAGATGTTTCAAGGTACAAAATCGACTGACGACGTCTGGTTAGCGGTGGTTGACAACATTTGATGAAAAAGGTCGACGGTGGTCGACAGAGGTCAACGACGACCGGTGATAATCAACGGAGGTCAGCGATGGTCGTTGACCGTCGATGATGGTCGACGGTGATTGATGACAGTCGGCGGTGGTCGACGGAGGTCAGCGGCGATCGACGGTGGTCGACGGAGGTCGGCGATGGTTGCTGATGGTGTGATCGGTGGTGGTCGACGACAGTTTGCGGTGGCAGGGATGATGTTAAACTTGAGCTCCTTCTCAAAACCTCAAGTTTTCTCTCAAGCATCCTCCCCTCATGTGAGGGTGGGACTCTATTTATAGTGTTCTGGGTGCAATTAATTCATGAATATGAACCATTTTGATCGAACGGTCCAAAGAGCTTCCCTCGATCAGATGGCGTTTGATGGACATTTAAGTGTCGTAACGATGTCGGAATTAAGCAATCTTGGGCTCATTGGATTCGTCTTGTCGAGACGCTTTATCCAACTATGAACTCGTTAGATTCGACATCCATTTGACCTTTTAAATGCCTCCGAAAATTCTTCAAGAATGGTTTAATGATTTGATCGGGGCTTCATTTGACTCGGATTGGACTAGTTTTTATATCATTGCTCCGTCTCATCGAGCCGGTAAGTTTGACTATGAGTTTACTGAAATCAGAGCTCTAGATGACTCTTAATCAAAGTTTGAATGTTTATGGTTCAAAATATCATCTCGAGATCCGTGTCATGTTTCGAAATTCGTGTCAGATGTTTAAAATTTGTTTGTATATATATATATATATATATGAGTACATAAATTTTTCTTGGGCCATCGTCGATCGTGAATAGTTTCTTGACATCATTCTTATGCAGATGAATTAACTGAGTCGAAGGATCACCAGGACGACAAACAATCGAAAAACATTGCGAAGTCTGTTCCTATTGCAGTGGTCAGTCAACACGCCTTGTGAGAATTTAGTTGACATTTATCTCGGGGGAGTACCAGCCGTCAAACCCTTTGCTAGATATTGATACTGCACAAGAGCAGACGGAGCAGCCATCGCCTTCCCTCAGAGCCATGGAGCAACAAACAGGGGGGATTGAGTCCTTGGCGATGAGAGCCAGTTCTTTGGAAGGAGGGTTCAGAGGCTTGGCGGTCGATTTTGTGTGGGAGCTTTCAGTCCCTTCGATGTCCCTGAGCTCGGTCATGTCAGCTTTGCAGGCAGAGGTTGGACGAGGTGCTAAGGGAGTTGGGAGCACTTTGAGAGTCGACTGACCTGTGCAAATTCCATCGCAAGGCCACTCGAATGAAACAACTTAGGATAGGAAGAGATATGGTCCTCCAAAGATTAATTCAGAGGGGGCATGTGCTGACTGAGGGCTTGGAAGACCCGCTTATAACTTATTTTATTTTTTACCTATAATAATGTTATTTGGAAATGAAACAACATTTGAATAAATTTGGAAAGAAAATTGGTGCAACACTTATCATTATCTGATGCTCGTTTTACATGTATATCTTATAAATAGGGCACGAGCACGAAACTGTAGCTTCTCACTTTACGTGTTCTGGTTTATGCACCCGAGCTTTTGATTTCCTTCTTCTCTTGTTTCGCCTCCTGGTCACTCTTTGTTTTCTTTTGAAATAGCTTTGAAGTTCTTCCCCACCTTCTTAGGCTCTGTCAGGGGTGTCGACCCCTCGTTCTTAATAGAAACGAGGCGAAGAAGTTGCGACAAAAGTACGCCATGCATGACAGTGTCACCCTTTGGAGGTTGCTAGGGTCGGCAAGGGCAACGGATTTAAGGACAAAGATCTGGTCTTCTACCGAAACCAGTTCAAATACGACCTTCAACTTCCTTTATGTGACGAGCTATAGAGCGTCTTCAACACATATGGAGTCATTTCGGCATATGTGCTACCGAACTCCATAGTAGTTGTGGTAACATTCATCTTTTATTGTCATCGGGGGCGCATCTCATTGTCAATCGACCTAATCAAGCATTGCTTTTTGTTCAAGGTTTATGCAGAGGGACGCATCATGTTTTCAACGGGAAAATAAATTCACTTGCTCGGAGTAGAGAAAAAATAAAGGACTGGAAGAAGAAATTTTTTGTCGGCCCTTATTCCGGTGCCTGAGGCATTCAAGTCGAGCCGTCAGAGCAAATGGTGTACAAGCCAAAGTCTGTCCGGGAGAGTATGGAACTCGACAGAACAATGCCGACCGGTCGCTAGGTGGATTTCAATCTGACGATTGACAAGATCAAGACTACTCACCGGTCGACAACATTTACTTAAACTAATAAGTTATTGCAAAATTTATTCTCTATCAATATTATGACGATCATTAATTCAAATTACATACATTAGTTTTATTAATGTTGATTACCATCACGATTCTCATCTTCATTAATTGTAGTAATTAGATTCCTTTAATTAGACAGTCACACACAGAGAGAGAGAGAGAGAGAGAGAGAGAGAGAGAGAGAGAGAGAGAGAGAGAGAGAGAGAGAGAGAGAGAGAGAGAGAGAGAGAGAGAGAGAGAGAGAGAGAGAGAGAGTATATATTAGTGAAATGTAAGGTAACAACATCCTCATCGCTCTGGCTTCCATACTTTCGTCAACAACATTTGCAAACAGATAAGACAATCAATTGCAGCCACAAATCTGCTCTACATTAAACTCACCCACCATTTTCTCCTTCCTCACTCCTTTTCACATTCCACCGTCCATCTAAATCTTCTTTCTAAAACAGCAGAGTAAAAAAACTAAAAAGAGATGCTGCAATCCATGCTTTCCTGCTGCAAACTCTACATATCCGAAAGCCGAAATTCTCTAGCTCTGCAATCCATCGAACGAGCTGCAACATTACACCCAGATGCAGCCATCATCAACAAATTCAAGGACGAGGCTTACAACAGAGTCGGCTACACTCTCGTCTCACCATTAACCGAGAACCCCTTCTTCAATTCTCCTCTCAATGAAGCTGTGGTTTCCATGGTTGCAGAAGCCTTTAAAGCCATTGATCTCCGAAGCCATTGTGGGACTCACCCTCGGCTTGGAGTTGTCGACCATATTTGTTTCCATCCCTTAGCTGAGTCGACGCTCGAGCAGTCTGCCCGTCTCGCAAAGATGGCGGCTGCGGCCATTGGCCAATGTCTTCAAGGTGTGCTTAACGTCCGTTTCCATAGGTTAATTTTAATCAATTTTTTCCTTATTTTTTAATTTTTATTTTGGAAGAATGGCAAGCATATCACTCAATTTTAGGAGAAAAAACAAACGGCGGTGTGGATTGCACCATGGTCGTCAGTGGTGCAAGCCTGATTGTTTGCTAATCAAAACTTGGTTCATCACGAGTTAGAGTTGGGGCTGGCTCAAGCTTGGTGGTTTGCTCGTCAAACTTGGTTCATGAGTCAATTAACGAGCCAAGCCCGACCCAGCTCACAAGTCAGCTTGGCTTAGCTACAACCTATATATATTACTCAAACATTTGAAGCCATTCTAATTGCCCTTTACATTCTAATTGCCCTTTACAGTGCCCACCTTCTTGTACGGTGCAGCTCATGAGGAAGGAAGATCCTTGGCGAGCATTAGAAGGGAGCTGGGCTACTTTAGGCCCAATTCAGGAGGTCATGAATGGGCTGGTGGACTTTGTCTTGATATATCTCGTAGAAAGCCTGACAAAGGTCCATCTCAAGTGGATCAAGCCCGAGGCGTTGTGGTAATCGGGGCTACGCAATGGGTGGACAACTACAACATCCCGGTCCGGTCCACTGATATGACCGTGGTTAGTCGGCTTGCAAAGAGAGTCGGCGGGCGGGGAGGTGGGTTCGACTCGGTTCAAGCCTTGGCGCTTGCACATGGGAAAGATTGTATTGAGTTGGCTTGTAATCTTCTTGAGCCGGACCGAGTTGGAGCCGACCGGGTTCAACTGGAAGTCCAGCGGTTAGCTGCACAGGAGGGGCTGGTTTTGGAACAGGGTTACTTCACTGACTTCTCTCGGGATAGAATCATCGAATCTTACTTGATGAGGAAGGTTGATTAGATGTTTGAAGCAATGGGATAAATCTGTAAATATATTAAAAATTTTAATCGCTGTTTCAGTTACCCCACAGCTGAAACAGTTGCCCCCCCACAATATGATCATTTTTACAGAAACAGTTACCCCACAACTGTTTTCACACAGCTGTACCAAACAGACTACTAGCTTCCCCGTAGCAGCTTTCTAGGGCAGCGCAACTGCAGCTGAAAAGCTGAGAAGCCGCCGACCAACTGCAGCTGAAAAGCTGAGAAGCTGCAGCTGCGCCAAACAGACCCTTAATGTAATTAAGAAATAATTTGATTATTAGAAAAATTATTTTATGAAATTTCACACTTGTTATGAGAAAATGAAAATTATGAAAGTTGTTATGCATATCGTATTAATTTTTTTAAATAAAATACTTCTAGCATGCTTTAAATAAATGCAGTCTTTAATTTTATTTTTTAATTCTAGCAGAAAACTTGTCAGACCATTATTTCGAATTTATAATATATGTGACAATTAGTCTCTCATTTAAAGTCATTATTTCTGTTGACATTAATTTGCATCCAATATCTCTTAGGGTATGTTCTAGACAGGCTTCTGCCAGCTTTGCATTATAGACCACCACCACACCTCTATTTGGGGAACTGCTCTCTTAGGACAGCAACAACAAAAAGCCTTTATCCCACTAAGTGAGACATGAAACCCTTTTCTCTATTGTGCCCAAATGAGTGTCATATATTCAATTAATTATAATAAATTAAGTTCATATTTTATAGAACATGTCCAAATCTTTTAGGTCTACGTCTACATTTCTTAATATAAGTCGAATCTAAACCATCTACACTCCTAATCAGATCATCAAATGATCGATGTTTAATGTGACCAAATCATCTAAGATGACTCTCTCAAATCTTGCTTGTCAATCCTTTCAGAGATACATTCATTTCACATTTTATCACTAACGCTCTGTTTAGATCAGTTGTAGTTATTAAAAAATAGATGTGAAACTGCTGAAGAATAATTTGATGCTCAAAAGCTAAACTAATAAAATTAAATGCCCCACTTTAAAGATAAATGTTTAAAATGTCTAATTCCCCAATAATGGCTGTGTTGATAAAAAAATTCAACATGAGTCAATCTTTTAAATCAATATTTTTAAAATAACCAACCAAATATTCAATTTAAAATTCAATCACTTAACAACTAAAAGAAAAATTCATCCACCATTCGCAATAATTTGTCGAGGGTGACAAACTCTTGATTGACTTTAGCTCAAATTTATCAATATATTAACAATCAAAATAATTACATGCCAGCAAGAACGTGACTCGAGTACTCTGTTTGCATGGTTCTACCGTCAAATGACACCATAAAGTAGTGGTTACCAGAGTCCTATAACTGAGTGGTTTCCATCAAATGACAACATTATATTACAGTCATGGTTGTAGCCCGCATCTTTCCCAATGACTTTCTACCATTTTAGTTGTAAATCATAATGATACAATTATTTGACATAAAGTCTTCTGTCAGCTAACGTCAACTTAAATTTGTCCCTTAATATAAACATTCATCCCAGATCTATAAGGATCTCTTGGACGACGCGACCCATGACTGCTGACAAGGATTATTTTGTTAGGTTGGGTTGACTATCTCCTCTGACTAAATAAATCTGGAACTATGACGACCCAGATGACAGAACCATGAGATCTTGATCGGGTTTTGTCTTGCTTCCCTCACCATCTGCTTTAAACTTCAAGTAGTGAATTCTACAATTTAAATCATTAGTTTGTTGCTATTATATGTTAAATATTCAATTTTTAATGACTAATATTAATAAAAAAATATTCTCATATTATCTAGAGGGATAATTAACCATAAGGGCTCTTGCCTACGGGAAACCTCGAACCCTAGATCAAAGAGTCCTAGCAAAATGAGGGAGAAATCTCTGAGTAGTGTCTTATCTACAACTAAATCTGTCTTCTGAAAATTCGACCCTCTAAAGCTCTTTCTCTCAAAATAAAAATAAATGCACAGGGGAGTGCCTTGCGGAGCGCCCGTGAATTTTAGGAGCCCATATTATTTATAATTTATATCACGGCATTTTAAGTAGTAGTTTTTCCACCGAAGCATTCCAATCACCTTTTTAAAAAAATGCAGCCTCAAATAGACCTAAAAAATGTTCTCAGCACTTGTGAAGCCATAATGTGAAACTAATGTTGAATTTTAATGCACGAACTACAAGTCTACAACCATGCATTTTGTCATATAAAAAAAAAAAAAAACAAGAAAAGGAACATTATATATTTATTTTTATATGACAAACAGAACGTATGTGTATATAGATATATATATATGTATATATATAGATATATATATATATAATTTCAACTAGTAAACCAACTTGCAAAAATCAAGGCTTTATTTCTTTTAGGGATAAATATTATATTGTTCTCCGATGTCAGCATACAGAATAAAATCTCAAAGATAACTAATAAATAATACCACCAATGATGCAAAGCTTTCATCCCTTGATAAAATTCCCTTGCCACTAGAGCGAATCACAAATGCATCAGATACTATTTTCAGATTTCAAAAAAGTTCGCGAGTTAGAAACAGCAAAAAAATAATATTAAAAATAATATAACAATTTAAAAAATGGAAAGAGAAATAAACCACAAAGATGAATCGAACGAATTACAAGAAAACACAATGCAGAATCTACCATAGATGCAAATAATGAAATTAGAAAATAAAAATAAAAATAATGAAATAAGGGACTTATGTTTTGTTTAGGGCAGTAGCAGCTGTGAAGTTTTTGTAGAAGAAACTGTTTTTCAAAAAACTGCAATGACTATTACTAATTTTTTTTATTTAAAAAAAGCCAGAAACGAGCTTTCGCTGCATTTTAAGAGTTTAAGTTGAAAAAAATAGCTTTCAACCATAAATTTTTTTTAAAAAACAGCAAGAAAGTAGTTCTCAAACAAACAGAAAACTGTCTCTTAATTATATATTGGTAAGGGCAAAAAATGCTAAGGGCAAAAATGCATAATACTCTCAACTTAAAATCCACAAAAGATGAAATCATGGTCCTTAAAGAGAAGAAGAGATTAAACAATCCATTCAATTAAACTGTCAATAATCCTTCAATTATTTAGATAGGATCATTTTAGTCCCAAAGTTTATAAAAGTGGTAAATTAATCCCTCTGTTATAATAAGGATTAAAATAATTCTCACCGGGGAGTATTTTAACATATATTAAAAGATTTTGGGGAAAATCAACAATGTTATAAATTTTAGAACTAAAATAACCCACCACAAAAAATGAGGGAATCATTTTGACACCTTGCTTAGCTTAAGTGAGCCCGATAATTATACAAGTTTAAGCTTGAAATTGAGCATGATTCAATAAACTTAAGCCCAACTATGAGTAAGGATCATCATTTCTTTAGGAAAGAGAAAATATGAATTCATTAAGTGAAAGTCCAATCAAATTAATCTTCACAACAAAAAGGCGTTTAGAATAAAATAATCTCATTCTCAAGAAAAAGCACGAGCACAGATAAAAACTCGGGACATTTACATACAAGCCACATAATTCAAATCTACATTTATAACACTTTTGTTTCATAAACCTAGGCATGAAAAGATGTACTTAATTTTAGAAAAAATTTGCAGCAGTGATATTTTGATGTGAAGCTAAGGATCCAAGTGTTATGCATGCAAATATGAGATGTTAGATGATAGATATGTAAACTCATAAGAATTGTGGGTTATATATGTAAATGAACCTAAAAAATAATAGTGACCTGCGAGGGTACTAATTCCGAGGCATCAGAATCACTTCTCAGCACAACGCTCCTCAGATCTGAAGAGCATCTGCAATGGAACTCGCAAGGCTCAGTACCTCAAATGGAGGCTTACCAGCAATGGCTTTAACAGTAAGCGGGCAAGAGTCAGTGATCCAGAAGTAAGTGAACCAGTTACTGAGATCATCTGTAAGAAAAATTTAACAAGATAAGGTTAGAAAACAGTAAAAAAAAAAAGAGGTAAGATACGTACAAAAAAAATGAAAAGGTGAGATGTGATATGAGGAAGAAAGTAGATTACTGGAATTATTTTGTACAAAACGTTGCCATGATTGCTTGGGGAAAACACCATGGGTCACATAGGCACTAACTTTAGCAGCACCATTACTTGCCAAAACTTTCTGTATAAAGGAAAGCATCCATTATTTTATAGGAAGATTTACATGCATACCACTCAACTCCTATGTATTTTACATATCTGAAACCTAAACTTCAATTTTAACATACATGCCATCCTACCTATGCATGAAAAAGTGTATTTGAATTTTTGAAAGTTAAAATGATGATATTTTTTTATGTGATATGAAAGATTTTGGTGCTATTAATGTTAAAAAGTAGAGTTTAGGTGTTAGATATGTAAATACAAAGGAATTGGGTGGTATGTATGTATGCCAATAATTTATATGATCTATCTATTTCATTCATCTATATATATATGTGTGTGTGTGTGTGTGTGTGTGTGTGTGTTCATGTCATTTCCTTGACTGCGAACAACAAATCGAAATTACAGGAATGTGTAAAAAAACAATGTACAATCTTCATATGCTAAAAATTATCTACAGATTACCTGACATTCAATAAGAGTGCCTCCAGATTGCACCAAATCATCAACAATAACAACATGCCGACCGTTAGAATTTCCTTCTTTGATTCGAACTATTCGTTTATCGCCTTCACGAACCTTTGCGCAAACAACCTTTCACAAAATGTAAGGATTAAGCAAGAAATTAGTGTAATTTCATAACTATTTGAGCATATCTAGAGAGCTTGAAAGTCGAAACTGTAACAATGCGCTAACCATAGGAAAATGCTGCAACTGCTTGTGAAATCTCTTCCATGCTCCATCATCAGGGAATGCTATAGTTATCTAGTAAATATTAATAGGAAGAATTATATTCAATATATTTGGATTTGCTTCAGAAAAATAATAAAATCATAATAAGTAACAGAAGCCAAGAAATGTGCAAGGAAGAATCATACATTATCAGCATCAGGGAGTTGGCGTAGGCGCAGTAACAAGAGGGGGATCCCAGTTTCAAAACAAGGTAAAACATCATCTCCAAAATAGAACCTTTCCTGCAAAGCTCAAAAAGGCCATGAAATTTTATAGTAGTCAAACCAACAGAGAGAAATAGAATCAGAATTCACAATGATTTCTGAAAACATGTAAGACATTAGCGGCGAAGTGTGTAATTGTCCATAGAAAACCAAAATGAAACATTGGAGTTATGGATGCTAGATTCAACATATTGTTCATAGTTAAGAATGCTATATCATTTGCTAGATTAAAATGTGCGATCTTGTAGTGTTGAAGTTGATTGCTAGCTTTTCTGCTAGTATTTGCCCTATATTATTTGTATTATGGTCACTTGTTAGCAAGTAGTATTTGTATTATATTCTTAGTATTATAACTGCATATAAGTAATATTGGGTTATTTCAACAATGCAAAAAAGAATTACACAATTATGGAGTTTGACATTGACAAATTATTTAGAGTAGAAAAAAAAGTTGATAAGAAAATACTTACACTATAGAATTGTTAGATATGGCTCATATACCAGGAATTTGAAGTCTCTTGAATTTGAAGAGGTATGTCTCCTGGAATGAAGAGGTGTGTCTCTTGGAATGGAGAAGAGTGTCTCTTAGAATTTAGTGGGTTGGGAGGAGCGAGGGTGTGTTAGTTATTTATCTGTAGGTTTTTTATTTGTATATCAATATATGTGTAACCCTAACTGAACTCCCATGGAATAGTGAAATTCGCTGCTCGCTCCCGAGGACATAGGCATCTTTGCCGAACCTCGTTAAATCTCTGCGTTCTTCTGGTTTTGTGTCGATTCTTGTTTTTTTTCACCCTAAATTTCTCATCAATTGGTATCAGAGCGAGGTTGTAGGGCAGAGAAGAAAAATATTGGCACAGGGAAGAGGAAGAAGATTTGAGAAAGAAATTCAGCGGTTTTGCGACAGTTCGCGATCGAAGGGCTTCTTCCTCCGCAGGAGCAGTTCGCGACCGAGAAGGCTTCGCAACAGAACAGGGCACGACACAGAGTTCGGCCTTGGCGAGGAGTTCGCGTGAAGAACTTCGAGGAGCAGTTCGCGACCGAGATCGCGAATCTTCGAGATTGCGGGAAGGAGTTCATGCGGTTCGCGCGAGGGCTATAGCGACAGGAAGTTGGCCCAAGGCAGTGGGGTTGTTTCGCGAACAACAATTCACAGAGGAGATCGAGAGGAGTTCAACACTTCCAACGAAATTCTTCGGCGATGAATTGCAGGAGTTCGCGTGCAGTTCGTGCGGCTGCGAAGTAGTTCGGGCGGCAATTCCTATTTTGGTCCAGCGGTTCGGCATCGCGAGAGATCAGACGGGCTTTGACGACAGTTTGCGGCAGAGACGAGGATTCGCAGAACTGTAGCGACAGAGGGCTTCTTCCGAAAGGCGCAAAAATGTCAGAGGCGAAGGGCAGACGAATTGGGCTCGCGGGAACGAAGTAGTTCAGATAAAGATTGCAGCAGTTCGACGAGTTCTACTTCGGGAGTTCGCGGTAGAGGCGACTTCGCGGGTTCGCGCGACAGGCAGAGGCGTCTTTCGCGCTTCTGGTTCGCAGAAGAAATTGCGATAGGTGGAGTTCAAGGAATTAAGGTAGTTTGGGCTTCGGAGCAGGAACAGAGACAAGCAAATCGCGGTATTCGCGAATTCAACAACGAGTTCGGTTCGGCCCAGGCGAGCTGCAGAAGGAATTCCGGATTGAGGCTTTAGGAGAAGAGGCAGTCGAGAGTTCATCAGTTTCACAGAGGAGAGGAGTTCTGTGGTGTTCAGTCTAATGAGTTCGCAAATTTGTCGCAGGAGAAGTTGCGGTAGGAGGAGTTCGGTAGGATGCAGGCTAAGTGAGCAAGCGCGACTATTCGCGAACAGTGGTTTCACGGAGGTATTTTGCGAACAGGCACGAGATGTTTTGCGAACAGGCGAAAGGTTTCACTCGCAGGACAGTAGTTTAGCCGAGGTGTTGACGCGAACATGAAAAGTGTTTCGCGTGAAAAATTTGATTCACGAATCACAGCAAAAATTGCAGCAGATATGTTGACCAAACCAGATACTATCAACAAGTTCTTGCATTGCTTGAACTTGTTGAATGTTTACAATTGTCAGACGACATGGTTGCCCAACCCACCATGGTTGCCCAACCGACGACATGGTTGCCCAACCCACTTCGGTGTAAGAAACTACATGATGTATTTCTCATAAGGGGATGAATATTCGTCAAGGTGGAGATTTGTTAGGTATATGTATTTCTCCTAAGGGATTGAATATTCGCTAAAGTGGAGATTTGTTAGATATGAATCATATACCAGAAATTTGGAGTCTCTTGGATTTGGAGAGGTGTGTCTCCTGGAATGAAGAGGTGTGTCTGAAGAGGTGTGTCTCAGGTGTGTCTCCTGGAATGAAGAAGAGTGTCTCTTGGAATTTAGTGAGTTTTGGGGAGCGAGGGCGTGTTAGTAATTTATCTGTGGGTTTTTTATTCGTATATCTATATATATGTGTAACCCTATGGGTATATAACTGAACTCCTCTACCTGTGAAATTCGCTGCTCACTCCTAAGATGTAGGCATCTTTGTAGAATCTCGTTAAGTCTCTGTGTTCTTCTGGTTTTGTGTTGATTCTTGTTTTTTTTTTGTCCTAAATTTCTCAACAAGAATTATGCTCATATGACAAAATGATCACCATTTTTTATGACATTGCATGCCTTAATATTCAATATGTGCTGTCTGATTTTCTCAGTCTATTTTGTGCCATACTATTCGTGTATGTCACCAAGATTTACTGTATCTCATATCTCATCCCTTCCATTTTAATTCCAAGTTCCTAAATAATGCTATATCATGAGAAAAACAAGATAATGCTGAAACATGGCTCATGCAATCTGATAAATGTGTGATCATGCTGAACCTAAAATTTTAGCAAAGTTTCTTTATGAAAATACCATAAATGCAACAGTAAAGAATTTACATTTTTTGTGAGAAGCTTCTAAATAACATGCTAAAAATTTGAAACAAACACAAATTTAAAAAAATATTCATTGCATAACACCCAAATCAAGAAAGATGGCACATCTAAAAGCTTAAAAGATCCATTGCAAAGCTTCTCAACAAAAATCCAAACAGATTAAGCACCAAGAATATGTCATGAGATATCAGTCTGTACAACAACATCATGTAGATTTCATTAGAAGAACACATGAACCAATAGAAGTGACTAGTACCAAATCAAATAATTCACAAATCACAACAAGAATTGTTGCGTGCTAATATATTTGTGGTAGTAGCTAGAATTTCACAGCAACTTTGTATAAAGATCCAATATGCACACAAATAAAAAAAATAAATGTAGGAGACGCCACGGTTTTTAGGTGAAAAAACTAAAGGGTATGCCCCATATGAAACAATCCATGTACGTGAGGTTACTAAAGTCCTGTCCCCCATACTTAAGAATTTGTTGTGTAATTTTTGGTACCAGTCACGTCTATTGGTTCATGCATGTCTTAGTAGATAGAATTTTACATCAAATTTGTAAAAAGAACCAGCATGCACACTAATAAAAGAATAAATGTAGGAGTCACCACGATTTTTGGGTGAAAAAACTTAAAAAGAAAAAACTAAAGAGTATGGTCCATATGAAATAATCCAAGTACGCGAGGTTACTAAAGTCCGCTTTCCCACTAATTAGAGAATATGTTATTATAAAGTTGTGATCTCCTGAGTCTGTTGTAAAAGTTATGAAGATGATATCTGTTGAACGACAACGAAAACAGTTAGATGATGAAGGCGGGCAATGCCGATCAAAAGCAGTGGTTGGGATAATGTTTAAGCAAAATTCTGGTAATGACAAACAAATGTTAACAATTCACTGATGGAAGTCGGGAAATTGTAAATTCACGACGACAATCAAAAGATAATGATTGGGTGATGCAAGTAGGACAACGGGGCTCACCAGCGGTAGTCATTAAACAAAGCTCTACAGTTCTCCGGGTCTCTGAATTCTCTCCAAATTAAAGTCCCGACCCACAATAAAGATGGGCTCTATCAATTATTTTTTGAGATAAGCATTTGGTTATTTAAGCCACAGTTCTGGAACACTTCATCAAATAACTTGAGTTGATTTCTTTGATCATATCCCATTTATTTAGTATTTAAGTATCTTAGTTATTTTGAAAATGAATGATCCTAGACTCATTGGACTCATCTCATTAAGATTCTCATTTTAACTGTAAGCATGTAATATTTGAATATCACTTAACACTTCAATTAATATGTCCAAGTTCCATACCACACTTCAAGAGCTTAATTTTGGGTTGATTGAAATTCGAATCAAACCATTTTTAGTGTCATTGGATTCCTTCTATAGAATTTAAATTGTTTCAAATTAAATTTCAAAAGTTTTTAATTCAAACCTCACAATCAAGGTTCATGCTTGATCAATTGGATTTCCCGATAAGGCATGTGCTATTCTAAATACTAAATATTGGGAATAAGTTCACTTCAAGCAAGTGGATTTTCTGATAATGAATTAAAATAATTAAAGATGAAACTACTTCAATATGGTCTGAAGTGTTATTTTACATACTAAATATTGAGAATAAGCTCACTTAAGCAATCTGACGTAACATAAGTTTCACAATCTATTATCTATCAATACTACGTAATGAGAAAACAATAAAATGTTTTTTTAAAAAATCTAGTTTAAATCAAAAACTTGCCTGCAAGGCATGTATATCATAGATGACCACACTAGTTGGGCCACCCCTAGATTTGGGTATCATAGAAAGTATTCGCGCCATAGTGAATGCGGTCGCAACATCTCCCTCTTCTTCCATCCGCTCAAAAGATCCGGTAGGGAAGAAAGGTAGAACCAATGTGAATGAAGCAATAAAGAGTTTTGGTAAAGCAAATATTGCAGATATTTGCTCAAAAATAACTGCCGGTGAGCTGAAAGAGGCTAAAAAGGCAACATGTTGTCCCCTAATATCATGTGCATCATTGATAAAGAGATTTGGGAACCCATCATCAAAACTCCTGAAAAAGGAATAATATGTATCAATGAGTTTTCTGAACTGACACAAAAAAAGTCATTTTCATGATATTCTTGCAACATTAAAGAAACATAAAAAAAATAAATGATATATAATGATGAGGTGTCATTTAGTCGTGCGCAGTTTGCAAAGTGTTAGAAAGAGGAGAAGAAAGGTCGACGGTTAGCTTTGGGTGATTTTCATAGTTTCTTCAGTAAATTTAACTGACATTTAACCAAGCGAACACAACATAACAGATCCTATGATTTTGAAGTTGTTAATCATGGAGGCTGAAACTCTTTTGCGTTCAACAGGCCACACAGAATACATCAATAAATTTATAAATTTTAAAAAGCAATAAATGAAGATAAAACGACTAGAATTTCAACAATATAGCATGTGCTGAGTCTGCAGAATAACAGTACAAACTTTACAAAGAATTTAGTATTTTTTGTGCATGGTTCATTCCAGACCCTCATTTCCTTGTGACAGAAGTTTGTTAAAACAACAGCGCCAATATTAATGTCATGGTGTCACCAGCATCGAATATGATGCACCACAAAAAAAAAATCCAAAGAGAAAAAACTACAAATCAACTCCAGAAACCAAGATTTACATAATGCGGCTTCAATTAAGCCTATATCTATAGGAGAGGAGAGATGATCAATCCGCCATCATTAGAAGCCATTATTATGATGTCCCAAACCAAGAGCACTCAACAGCCCTTCTCTAATCCCAAAGAGACCTTCTCACATGCACCTCAATACAACCAACTCTTCCAAGAAATTCTAGCCACCGAGAGTATATATCTAGGACAAACCGAGATGCACAGATTTCCTATTAACAAAACCCTAAAAAAGGACTATCTCAATTAATCTCCAACAACCAGCCTCTCATTCTAAGTTGGAAACCAACAAAATTCCCAATATCTCAATGAAAAACATATAGGATTCTTGATGCCCACTTTCAAGCAAGCAGAGATGAGCGGAACCATTAGTTAAAGAAGAAAAAGACAATCCACCATGTCTACAATTTACTTCAATGGAAAGAGTCAAAATTTTTTGAATCCATAGTCTTCTTCTAGGCATAGACTAAAAACAACCAATAAAATCCTAATCAGGACAGATTGTTCAATTTTCTTCTAGCAATATGTACTATATAAAATGGTGTTACGCACAAAAACATCAACAAAATACTTTTGACTTACATAAAGGAAAATGTAGTGGTTTTTAATTTTTTTTTATCTATATAAAAAAATAAAAATAAACTAAAATAAAATAAACTGTGCATATTTTCCCCAAATGTAGAACAAAAATCTAATAAAGTTGAAAGAGCTCATTTAGAAACAAGAACTTACATAGCTACTTGCATTTCAATGAAAAAATGTATCAAAGGGAAGTTAGTTGGGTCACGCAAATTCTCCATACTAATTATGTAACAACCCTTTATCAAATTCAGCTCTTAATACATGATCATCCAAATCAGTTTTCTTTGTTAATTACATGCATGAATTCATCTGTGCTGAGAAATTTAGGGCAAAAAAAATCAAGAATCGACACAAATCCAGAAGAAAACACAGAGATTTAACGAGGTAATCGGGAGCAGAGCGACGATTTCACTATTCCAAAATGAAAGTTCGGTACACACCCATAGAGTTACACACAAATATATAGATAAAACTCATTGATAAAATTACTAAAATGTCCCCGCTCCCCCAACTCACTTAACTCCAAGAGACACACATTTTCACTCCAAGAGACACATCAAGAGACACACATCTTCACTCCAAAAGACACATATCTTCTCTCCAAGAGACATCTCTTCTTTCCAAAAGACACACCTCTTCACTCCAAGAGACATATCTTTACTTCAAGAGACACATATCTTCATTCCAAGAGACACATATTTTCTTTTCAAGAGACACATCTCTTCTCTCCAAGAGACACATCTCTTCTACCAATTTCTAGTATATGGGTCATATCTAATAAATCTCCACCTTGGCGAATATCCAGCTCTTTAGAAGAAAAATATCTTGGAGTTTCTCATAAACCAAAGTGGGTTGGGCTACCATGTTGTTTAACAATTACAAACATTCAACAAGTTTAAGCAATGCAAGAACTTATTGATCGTAACTGGCTTGGTCAACATAGCAACTGCATTTTCATCAGTATGAACCTGATTTTTAGCCAGATAAATGACACTCTGACTGTCACAATGCAACTGAACTCCACCTTACTCAAAGCCCGGTTCTTTTACTAGCCTAGCAAGCCATAATTTTGTATTACCATCAAATGATTCAACAGAGTGAACTTCAACTGTGCACCCCAACAGTTTATAGATATTACATACAGTGATCTTTCCTTTCATCACAGTCAATACATCTTTAACAATTCTGATGATTTCTCTCTCCCCATCTACCTTAGGAATAAAACTATTTTTTCGTAAAGTGCCCAAAAAAATTAAATTCTTTTTCAATTCTGGAATATGTTTTATATCACAAAATGTTCTGATAGTGTCATCATATATCTTAATTCTAACTTCACTAATACCAACAATATTGTAACATCTATCATCACTCAAATATACTAAACCAGAATCAGATAACATATATGAAGTAAAACATTATCTGTTAGGTGTTATGTGATAAGAGCATCCTAAATCAAGAATCTATACATCCTTCAACTGACTTGTTGTAACTGAAAACATGTCACCATCACTATAATCTGAATTGTCACTATGCGCCATATTCACAGACTTGAAAGATACATCACGTTTCTCATCAGTCTGCTTCTTGAGCTTTAGAAAATTTATCTTCATATGATCCAGCTCCTTGCACTTGTAACAATAAATCGTCTTTTTGTCTTTAGATTTTGACCTGAAATTTTTATCTTCCAAAACTCTTCTTCTCCTTATTCCTTCCACGATCCTGATTAACCATAAGATTTTTCGCTTATATTCTGTTTCCGCTGGTTGTGAGTTAACAATGTTGCAATAACCTCATCAATTTTGATTGTTTCTTTCTCATATGTAAGAGTAGTCACCATGTCTTCATAGAAGAAAGAGAATGAATACAACAAAATCATTGTCCGGTCTTCATCCTCAATTCTCACGTCAAACCATGATAAATCTGTGATTATTTGATTGAAGAAATTCACATGTTGCGTCAGATCAAAACTTTCTTGTATATTCAGCCCAGACAACTTTTGCTTCAGATACAGTTTATTTGTCAGAGATTTAAACATAAACTGAGTTTCTAAATTTTTTCATACTTCTCCTGGAGATTTCAGATTTATAACATGATACATAATATCATCTGTCAGACATAAACGTATGGTGTATGCCGCTCGTTGTTGCAATTTTTCTCAATCTACATCTTCCATATTATCAAGTTTCGTTGCTCGCAAAGCTTTCAAGATTCTTTATTGTGCCAACAAATCTTTTAGCGTTGTTTGCCACAATCCAAAGTTCTCGATTCCATCATATATCATCACTTCGAATTTTGCACCAGACAATGTCATCTGAAATTGCTCCTATCGCGAACTGTCGGGATTCTCGATTCAGGGAAGACAGCTTTCTGAAATGGCATTCCTTCTTATCGCCAAACTGTCTAAACTCCTTCGCCGAACTCCTCTGCGTCGGCGCCTGGTCCGAACTGTCTCGAACCTTCTCGTCGAACTCCCTGAAGCCCACTCGTTAACTCCTCTGCGAACTGCCTCACTGAAACAGTCGCAAACCGTCGTCTTCTTCTACCTCTTCGGTCTCCTCTGCCAAACTACCACAAACCGCCTCCTCCCGTGATTCACAAACTCCCTTGCAAAGCACTGAAGCCGCGAACTCCTTCCGATCGCTGAAGCCACCTAATCGTGGGAACTTCGCCTGTTCGCTGACCTTCGTCTGGTCGGGATGCCGCAAATCCCCTCGCCGAACCACTCGCCTTCGTCTCCCAACAGCGGCAATCCTCAAACTTCTCAAAGCCTAGTCGAACCTTTCTTCCAAATTGCCGAATCATTCTTCGTACTTTCTGTGCCGAACGTTTCTGCCTGCCTTATAACCTTGCTCTGATACCACTTGTTGAAAAATTTATGGCAAAAAAAATCAATAATCAACACAAATCTAGAAGAAAACGCAGAGATTTAACGAGGTTCGGCAATGAGCCTACGTCCTCGGGAGCAGATTTCGCTATTTCAGAAAGAAAGTTAGGTACATACCCATAAGATTAGACACAAATATATAGATAAAACTCACAGATAAAATTACTAAAACACCCCCGCTCCCCCAACCCACTTAACTCCAAAAAACACACATCTTCACTCCAAGAGACACATCTCTTCTTTTCAAGAGACACACTTCTTCACTCCAAGAGACATCTTTTATTTCCAAGAGACACACATCTTCACTCCGAGAGACACTTCTTCACTTCAAGAGACGCACTTCTTCATTCCAAGAGACACATCTTTTCACTTCAAGAGACACGTCTCTTCTACCAATTTCCGGTATATGAGTCATATCTAACAATGTGGATCCATCCCCACAAAAATATGAAGAAGTACAAAGTATTTTTTTCCTATCATCCAGCTCAAGTAAGAATCAAAAGACTCACAAAAACAGATCCATCGAACCTAAATAACATGATAAAACCTAGAAAAGCAAGATCCCCGTAACAGGAATGTGTAAAGATGGAAACTTAAACTCTCATCAAATCATACTTTTCCTACCCACAAGCAAAAGGAAGAGCATCCAAGCTCTTTCAACAACGACATCACCTAGCCGATCATTTCTCTACTTGCAGCTGTACTATCTCCGCGTCTAACCGAATTGCTGCTAGTTTATACTCGCATTACTTCAAAGTCTTTTTAGCTTTTTAGGTTAATAAGATTTTAAAGAGTTTGCCCCTGCAACCCTCTACCTTCTAGCCCTAAAACTTACAGAGACCCAGCATTTCATGGAAATAGTGCAATACAGATCAAATTAAACCATCAAATTCTCGTTCTGATCAATACATATCTGAAAAAAGGATTAAGACTATCAGACCTCCATGCTATGGACCGAAGCTGAATGGAATCTGATTGCTCCGCCACCTTGCGCGCGAGCTCTTCGGCTTCCGCACAATGGAATAGGTGAATCGCTTTCTTCGTTCTCTTCTCCATACTTCCCTCTTGCTCTCGCGGGCTCCTCACTCACAAACCCGCAGCCCGCAGGGAAGAACGAAACATTGGAGCTGTTCGTGAAAATAATTATTTATGTAATTTTTAACCAAGAGCTTGGGGAAAAAAATATATTAAATGAATTAACATGCAATTTGTCATCAGAAAGAACATGAGTTTATTTTTTATTCAAATAAAAAGATTTAAATTTTTATCAAATACTATGATTTTTTTTAAATGTTGATATTTACTTAAATGTGATATTAAAAAGTAAATTTTATAAATAATAAGAAACTGGAGGATATATAACCAAGATCACGTTCAAAAAAGGATTTAATCGGGTGATGTATTAAATTATAAATTTATTTAAATATTAAAAAAAATGATGTAATTAAGAAAATTATTGTGAAATATAAAATAAATATCTCAATATTAAAATAATCAACATCATAATAATTTTAGTATTTTATTTTATATAATATAAGAATCACACTATACTATATTTAAAAAAAATTTAGGGGCATTTACATGTAGTCCCATGTAATTTTTTATATATCTAACATCTATTATTAGTGTTTTAAAAATCACTTTACTTCACAGGTAAGGTGGTATGTTTGTAAAAATTAAAATTTAAATGTTAGATATATAGATAGATAACAATCAAGTGGTATGCATGTAAATCTTCCAAAATTTTATAATGAATAGAAATTAAATATTGTAACTTATTATTAAGAGTAATATAGTGTTACTATATATATAGTCAGAGTGTAAGGTGTGATATTCAAATTTTTAGGCGCATGACGGATGTCAGAACTCATATAATAGCCTTAAGACATTCCTTTTAATATATATATATATATATATATATATATATCTGGATTTTTGTACTTTAGAGTTTGTTAAATTATAGAAGAAAATAATATAAGAAAGTAAAAATTTTGTGCAGGCAAATAAGGGCAAAGAAACATATTATTAAATTATTTTAGCTTTTAATTTCCTTTATATTGTAGGACATGGAAATATGGGATAGCTAAGTTAATAGCACATGACCTTCCACTTTGTCTTTGTCATCTTATTTTAGGCTTTTAAAATTTTTTTTAAATAAATTTGAACCGGTTCGATGCATGGGAGGTTATTAAGCTAACCCAAATTGAACCACTGATCGATTTATGGTCAAACAGATTTGTACGGTCCGATTTTCTAAACCATGAGTATGACATTTATATTTATGATTATCACATATCTTAAGAAGTAGCAAATTTATATATTTTGACATACCATGAAGTTTGATGAAAATATAAATTTTTTTTTTTGTTTTTAATAAATTTAATCTTAAACAGAATTTGATGCTTAAAAGTAGGGGTGCAAATGAATCGAGTCTCAGGAGCTAGAGCTTAATTCTAAATTAAGAATATTTTAGTGATACTTTATATCTGAATTTTAAGTATATTAGATCAAGTATAAATATAATATTACATATTAATGATGTAATCATTAAAATGAATATATATTTATATTATTTTTAAATATATTCATATTTGATTAATTATCCACTAAGTATTTTATACATTATTAATACTTGATTCAATTATTTAACAGTGGATTAGGAATAGATTAAATTAATTATCTGTTATTAAATTTTAATTTCGCGAAGAAAAACAAATATTTTTATTTTTCGTTTATTAATCATATATTACATATTTATTAAATATATATCAATTGTGTATAAATTATTCAAGTTAAAATTGATTCAATAATTAATTAGCCCCCGACCTTCCCCCTTCGGAGTACATCCTCCGAAACAACGCACGAAGCCGCGACTTTCTCTTCCCTCCCTCTTTCCCGAAACTCTCACAGACTGCCGCCATTGGAGCTGGCTCTGAAGGTAACGACGTGAGCGCAGTGTCCCGACAAAAGGAAGACCTCTAAAACTCCAAACATTCTCCCCTTCTGGTCTGTTCCCACGGGAGACATCGCGGAGGTAACTCTCGTTTTTCTCCCCACCTGCGCGCTTACTAATCCGGGATTTAGGGCAAAACGGATGAGAAACGGGATTTAAAAGTGTACGATTTAAAGCAGTATTTGTTTCCTGTTTGGCAGGATTCAGGCTAAATCCTGCTTGAATCATGCTCAAATCTAACACCAAACAGCCCCGAAAAGATGCGATGGCATATGAATGAAGCCATTCATTCCACTTCCAAAATGAATGATCTGAGCTTTGATTTGGATCGATAGCATCTGGAGATCTCTCCTCAGATTAAGCACGAGTTGCCCCTTGGAAGAGATAGAAGCGAACGGGGAAGGATGCAGTGGTATTTCATTGCAGCTCTTCTCACTATTCTTACCAGTTCCCAGGTACTGGAGTTGCATTCTATGTTTCTTCCGTTTTTACTGTCGATGATTTGTGCTTTGTACAAATTTGGGGAAATCTATATGTTCTATAAAATCTCTTGTTTCAGATCAGAAAGAGAGCGGGATTCTTAAACTTTAACAAGGATTGTTTTTCTGTAGATGAGCCATCCTTCTAGTGTCAGTTTAACTTGAATAGCTTGTTTTGTTCATGATGTTATTTGTAGCAGTACTAGGTGGAGATATTATGCCACTTCTTTGCATTATGATCCAGAAAAAATATACATTTGCTATATTCTGAATGTGTGGATTTTAATAAACGGAAGGCAAAGAAAATGGAAAATAAAATTTAAAAACAATCATCTTGATTAGTTTGGATTCACAAAACATACTGGATAAGATTAATGACTCGAGTGTTTCAAGGGGATTGGGTTGGGGGTTAGGAGCAGCTGGAGTATAGTAAATGATTGAGAAAACTGAGTACAGATAAGAACTGGGTTGCTCCTAAATTAAGGAGAAAGGCTGATGGTTATTTGGTCTCCTTTCATTTTCTTCTTCTCCTAATTTCAAACAGCAGCTATATAAGGGAATTTTTAAGTTTTGTGATCCATAAATGTTCTTTTCTCTGTATCAGATGGTAGGATGATAAGAAATATTTAGGCAGGATCTAATTGATATCAGAATTTATTTTATTTCATTTCCTTTTCAAGTTTATATCTTACCAATCAAATAGGGGAGGAGTCTAATTTCTTTCTTCACAGAACCTATTGCCAAGGGATGTAATTCTATTGTAGAATTTAGTGGTTATAATGTTACAAGCAAAAGAGTGTGCAATTGATTATTATTTTTATTTTCTCTAGTCTCTATCATATTTTGTTTATAATTTTTTTCTGACCACTCTTTGCTATCTCAAGCCTCTAGTATCTTATGATTTTAAAGGCATTGCTTTTTGATGCATTGCTTCTACTTTACTTTTAAGGAGCATTTACATACATTCCACACAAGTCCTATGCATTTACCTATGACACCTAAACATTCACATTTACATGTATACCATTCAAATATTTAAATAGGTCTGCTCCCAATGTCGCCTTCCAGGTTTAGCTATGTATTTGCAGACTTGACTAACAGCATGAGCCAAATCAGGACGAGTACATACCATAACATACATCAAGCAGTCAACTGCACTGGCATATGGAACCTTTGCCATGTCTTCAATTTCTGTATCAGTCTTAGGACACTGTTCTGAAGAAAGCTTAAAATGATTGGCCAAAGGAGTGCTCACAGGTTTTGCATTGCTCGTCTCAAACATTTCCAACACTTGCTCAACATAGCCTCGTTGAGATAAACATAATCGTCTTGAGCCTCTGTCTCGATGAATCTCCATTCCAAGAATCTTCTTCGTAGGACCCAAGTCTTTTAATGTCAAATATTTGGCTCAATAACGCTTTCAAACCACGGACATCATTCATATTCTTTGCAGCAATTAGTATATCATCAACATACAATTACAGAAAAATAATAGAACCATCATCAAGGCTCTTCACATAAACACAACAATCATGCTCACATCTCTTGTAGCTAATCTGAATCATGTAGGAGTCAAACTGCTTATACCATTGTCTTGGAGACAGTTTCAACCCATACAACGATTTCTTTAACCTGCAAACCAGATGCTCCTGTTCAGGTTGAGTGAACCCTTCTAGTTGCTCCATGTAAATCTGCTCCTCTAGATCACCATGTAAGAAAGCAGTTTTAACATCCATCTGCTCCAAATGCAAATCCCAAATAACTACTAATGCAAGCACTGCCCTGATTGAAGTATGTCTGACCACAGGAGAAAAGATTACATCATAATCTATCATCTTCTGCTGTGAAAATCCCTTTGCTACCAATGGAGCCTGGAACTTTTCCCTTCTTTTTCTGATACTGCTGGTTTTCTTTTGTAGACCAATTTGCACCCAATAGCCTTCTTTCCCTCTGGAAGCTGAACTAGCTTCCAAGTGCGATTTTTCTGCAAAGACTTGATCTCCTCAATGATTGCACCTATCCATTTCTCTTTCTCCTGGCTAGTGATAGCTCCTTGAAAAGTGGCTAGATCATCGTTGCTGATAAGAAGTGCACATGAGACTAAGTCTTCATAACCCAATCTATTAGGAGACCTTACATTGGCGTGTCTCTATCTATCTCTGGCTAGATTATAATTCTGCAGACCATCTGGAATAGAATCACCAGGTGTTGGATTTGAACTTTCACCTCTCTCAGAAGCTACTGGTTGTTGTTCTAAATCCATCTGCACTGCATCTTAACTGGAACTCTTCTCTAGCACCTTGTCTTGATTCTGTTGTAACATGAACTGCTCATCAAAAACTGTATCTCTGCTGATCACCATCTTCTTTGCAATCGGATCCCAAATCTTGTATCCTTTCACACCTTTCTTGTAGCCCAAAAGGATGCATTTCTTGGATTTTGCATCAAGTTTGGATCTTTTATCTCCAGGTACATGCACATAAGCAGGACATCCAAAAATCCTTAAATGATCAAATTTAACTAGATTACCTGTCCATGTCTCTTCTGCGACCTTGTCACCCAATGATGCTCGAGGTGATCTATTGATGAGATAGCATGCCATATTCACAGCCTCTGCCCAGAAACTCTTAGGAAGCCCTGCATTCAGTCTCAAGCACTTTGCCCTTTCAGTTAAGGACCTGTTCATCCTTTTTGCCACACCATTCTGCTGTGGTGGCTTCCGTACTGAAAAATGCCTCTGAATCTCATGCTCCTCACAGAACTTCTGAAACTGCGAAACTGTGTACTCTGTGCCATTATCGGACCTCAACTGTTGTGGTACCTTACGCACTGAAAAATGCCTCTAAATCTCATGCTCCTCACAGAACTTCTGAAACTGTGAATCTGTATACTCTATGTTATTATCAGATCTCAAATATTTGATCTTTTTGTCATTTTGGTTCTCCATCTCAGCTTTCCACAGCTTAAATTTATAGAAGATTTCAAATTTCTGCTTTAAGAAATACACCCAAATTTTCCTGAAGAAATCATCAATAAAGGTAACGAAATACTGAGATCCTCCTAATGACAACTCCCTAGTAGGGCCCCATACATCAGAATGCACATAATCAAGAATCCCTTCCGTTTTGTGCTTTCCAGTCATAAAACAGACTCTAGTATGTTTTCCAAGAATACAGAACTTACAAGGATTGAGCTTGCAGCTTTTAACGCCATGCAACAGGTTTCTTCTATGCAATTCTGTCATCCTAAGTTCACTGAGATGTCCCAAACGCATATGTCATAACTTTTTACTGTCATCATCTGACTCCACAAAATGAACTCCACCTACAGCTTTACTCCATAACAGTCTATAGATATTACTTGCAGTCAATTTTCTTTTCATCACTGTCAGCGCACCCTTAACAATTCTGATGGTTTCCAAATCCTCATCTGCCTTAGAAAAAAAATCATTTATGTGTAGAGTGCCCACGAAAATCAAATTCTTCTTCAGATCTGGAATATGTCTGACATCACATAACGTTCTAACTATGTCATCATACATCTGAATTCTAACTTACTCAAATACCAACAAAATTGCAGCATCTATTTTCACCCAAATAGCCCGATCTAGAATTAGTTAACATGTATGAAGTAAAACACTCCTTGTTAGGTGTTATGTGATAAGAACACCCTGAATCAAGAATCCATGCATTTGTGAAAGCTAAATTTTTTTATTGAAACTGAGAGCATATCGCCATCATTGCAATCTGCATTTTCATTCTGCACCACATTTACAGACTTCGATGAAATATCACCTTTCTCCCCAGTCTGCTTCTTCAGCTTTGGACAATCTCGCTTCATATGACCTGGCACCTTGCACTTGTAGCAATGAATTTCCTTTTTGCCTCTAGACTTGGATCTGGAATTTCGCCTTCCAGAACTCTCCTTCTCTTTCTTCCTTCCACGATCTTGCTTACTCTTCACATATAAACTGTCACCGTGAGAGTTTCTTCCTGCATTCTGCTTCCGCAGGTTGCGAGCCAACAACGCTGCAGTAATCTCATCCACTTTGATAGTTTCTTTCCCATATGTCAGAGTAGTCACCAGGTGTTCAAAGGAAGAGGGCAATGAACACAACAAAATCATCGCTCGATCTTCATCCTCAATACTCACATCAACCCGTGACAGGTCTGTGATTATTTGATTGAAGCCATTAACATGTTGCGCTAGATCAGAACCTTCCTGCATCTTCAGTCCATACAACTTTTGCTTCAGATACAACTTGTTCGTCAGAGATTTTGCCATAAACTGAACTTCCAGTTTCTTCCAAACTTCTCCTGGAGATTTCAGATTCATCACGTGATACATAACATCGTCTGCCAGACATAGTCGTATCATCGCTGCCGCTCACTTTTGCAATTCTTCCCAATCTTCATCCTCCATGACATCTGGTTTTGCTGCCCGCAGAGCTTTCAAGATTCTCTGTTGCGCCAACAGATATTTCACCCTGGTTTGCCACAATCCGAAGTTACTAGTTCCGTCGAACTTCACCACCTCGAATTTCGCACCAGAAAAAGTCATCTGAAAATTGAACCTGCAACGAAACTTTCTGCAAAAAAAATCCTCTGCAAAAATCCTTGTTTAGACCCCTTATTTTTATTTATTTTTTTTTCAGCCTCGAGCAAAGAAAATATTAATTAAATATTCTCTTTAATTAAATATTTCCTTTCTCTTGGAATTAGTTGAGGAAAATCCTCCTCCACTGCAGTTAAGGAAAATCAATATAGGAGAATATTCTCCTAATAGAAATAAAAGATTCCTTACCCTCTCCGCAGAGTATTCCTTACCCTCTCTGCGATTCTGGCCTCCAGAGAGGAAAGGCGCGGCTTCCAGCAAAGTAAAAGGAAAATTTACAGAGGAAATATTCTCTTCCTTCCGGATTCCTTATTTCCTTTCCATCCCAGCAGCGCCTTCTCCGCCGAGATTTACGCCGTCTTCTTCCGCGATCCTCTCCGCTAGTGCCTCTCCCAAGCCTCCGCCGGAAGCCTGTCGCCAAAAGAAGAGCGATCTTTTCCTGCCCGGACTCCGAACTCTCCCTATGCGAGCCTCTGTTCGAAACCCTCGAACAAATCCGAACAATTCCTTCTCTTCTGATCGCTCTTGCCGTCCCCAACTTCCTTGACCGTCTTCCTCCTTCCGCGACCTCCTATTTCGCGAATAGATCGTTTGCCAAAGTGCTGTTCGCCAATCCGCCTCGATGCAGCTCTCCGGAGCCTTCTGAAATTTAGGCTTCCTGCAATGAAGTGTCGGAGACCTAGCCGCCAAACTCTTTTTTTTTCTCGCCGTCAAAAATTTTTCTTCCCTTCGAACCAGTTTCTGATACCACTTGTTGAAAAAATTAAGGCGAAGAAAAACAGTAATCGATACAAATCCAGAAGAACACAGAGATTTAACGAGGTTCGGCAAAGATGCCTACGTCCTCGGGAGCAGAGCGGCGAGTTCCTTTCAGTATTCAGAAAAGAGGTTTACAGAAATCAGAGATACCTCCTAGGGTTACTAACAGATCTATTTATAACTTCAGGAGTAAACCTAGGCACAATATGTAATTACAACATTTCCCCTGTACTAAACCGCGGGGCTTTGCCTCTGCACCCCAACCCACGTAACTTCCCAATTTGGACAGATTCTTCCGCTCCGCTTCGATCCAGCGTCTGTCCCGATATGGTATATGAGCCATACCATAACACTTTTCATATGCTTTATATAAGTCCCACTTATGCAGTTCTCGTGTAAATCATATGGTATATTTGGTAGGGCTTTAGGTCGACTTAGGTTAGTTCTTTTGAACAAAGAATTACCTCAGGTGTAGGAACCTTGAATGAAGCAACTCATGACTGTTGATAAGGATCATTATGTTAAGTTGGGTCGATTGACTCCTTTGACTTAGTAGACTAGTGACCATGACAACTCGGGATGAATAAATTATGAGAATTTGATCAGGTTCATTATCATTTTCCCACCATCCACTCTAAACTAACAATGATAATTTTATAATTTTAAAACTTAAATCTATTGCTATTATATGTTATATGCCTGAATACTTAATGTTTAATGACTAGTTTTAATTGAAAGTGTTTTTTTGTTTTTCTGTTTTTTTTTTGGGGTGGGGGGTGTTAATTAATCATATAGGAGCTTGAACCCATAGGAAACCTCGAATCTTAGATCTTAGAATCCATCGTAAAATGAGGGCAAAATATTTTTCTAGTGTCTTATCTGTTATTTCATTTGCCTTCTAAAATTTGACCCTAAATCTCACACCAAGCTCTCTCATTCTTATTCTTTTCGAGAGAGGCCGGGGCGTCGAATTTTCGGAGCCCTCAATTTTGTATATCTTATATGTAGCTTCAGAAATTTAACAATAGCCTTGAGGTTCGCTCTTGTTTAATTTCTGCTTCTGCCAGCTTTATATTGCAATATTGTTTTTATTGCAAGCATTGATTACCAGAAAATATTTTGCCTGTTTAGGGAATTTTGACTACGCTCTCACAAACTAATGGAAGATACAAGTACGATTACGCTACAATTCCCTTTCTTGCAGAAGTCTTCAAGGTATTTTTCTCCTTTTGTTTTATTTTTTACTATTTAAATTCTAAAGTTCATTCTAAAGATCTCTTCCTCACAATGCAAAACTTGTACCCTGGCCATGCTTTTTGTAAAATGTTTATTTTTACTGTTTGACAAAAGTTTCTGCAACTTTTAAGTATAATTGGTCATGAGGAGTTTGCAGTGTAATTTTGTTTGCAGTTGTATTATTGCTTTTTAAAGTATAATCATAATATTTTTGTTAATTTGGCTTTGATTTTATTGAATAAATCAGCTTCTAGCATCAAGTTTCTTTCTTTGGAGAGAGATGCAGTTTCAATCTCCTCCTAGGATGACTACTGAATGGAAAGCAGTGCGGTTATATGTGGTTCCTTCAATCATATACCTTGTGCACAACAATGTTCAGTTTGCCACCTTAACTTATGTTGATCCATCTACTTATCAGATTATGGGAAACCTGAAAATTGTGACTACTGGGATTTTATTCAGGTGATTTTCATATTTTACTTGCTTATATATTTCAGGAACATGAGAATTCGAAAATATCAGAAACACATGTTCTTAAATGAAAAACTATAATATAGCGCCATTAACATGTTCTTGTTTTATAACGTTTCAGAGTTTTCCTTAAGAGGAAGTTATCAAATCTACATTGGTTGGCAATCATTTTATTAGCCGTGGGAACAACTACAAGCCAGGTTATCTTTTACTTCTGAGAATTTCATCATTCCTCACATTTCGTATTTGGATTATGGCATGTGTTGCTGTTTTTATGTGCAGTCAATTTTTTTTTAGATTTGCATTTTTTATTTGTATGCTTTATTAGGTAATTTTACTCTGTTTTAGATTGCATTTGATGTATCGATGAAGGAACCTATTTGTGAGATGATAGCAATTGTTGTTCGTGCAATCTTCTGTATTTCTTCTTATTTTTCGAACTTTAAATGTCGTCATATGTGATTTAGCATAATGTACTACAATGTTATGTTTATAAATTTGTACCCCCAAAATTTAAGAAATATTTTCTATTAATATCATCCCCGCAAATACCAAAGTCTACCACTGCTTGTTTCATAACGTAAAATTGTTCAATAAATATTTTGTCGGTTAGGGTAAACAATCGAACCTAACACGCCGCGCTTTAATAAAATTATGAATACCGATAATAAAACATGAATAATTGAAAAACTGGTTTTTAAAAACTATTTTAAATTGAGGGAAAACTTATGTATTTCATTTATTTTTTGAGGACCACTTGCACAACTCCGCATGCTAATTATAATAATTCTCACTATGTATGGAATGTTTTAATTACATGGCATAAGCGAGAAGCTGTATGGATTATTGGATTGTTGAATGGCTCAATGGAGGTTCACATAAGATAACATTAATCACGAATCTTATGTACATTATATGGAAAATAATATCATCCGAAGATATGCTCAAAACCTCATCTTTGTAAACAGTTTTCTTTCACTGAAAATAATATCATCTGAAGAAATAGCAAATTACCCAACCAATGATGAAGGAAAGGCAACAAGCTTTAATGTAGGATGCCTTAGATTCTAGGACTCACTAATATAATCTAGAGGTGACATGCACAGAGGATTGCCTCAAAGATTAGAATTAATATTTCCATTACTATTAGTTTAGGCAAAGACTAGCCTCTTTTGATGCACAAAACTAGAAAAGAGGTTTATTTCATTCCAAACAATAATTTAAAGGTCACCAAAATCGGAAATTTTAAAGAAATATGTTAAATATTAAGTATCACAAATTGATTAAAATTAAGCTGCAAAAGAAAATATCAGATTGCATTAAGCTTGAACAAAATTTAATCACACACAAAAGTGTATATGAATGAAGAACATGGATAGAAGTGGCTAAATAGAAGATATAGGCCTCACAAAAGTACAATGAGACGTACCTCTTGAAACTTATCATCAAGACCTGTCCCACACTTAAAAGAATTCACATTCAACTATTAACATTAATCTGAGGGAAAAATAAGAACTTTTAGTCAGTAATCCATATCAAAATGCATATCTTGAGGTCTTTATTTATTTTCCCCAAAGACCCAAAACTAGTAATTTCTCAAAATCCTCTAGATCTAGTCAAAAGCTACTAATTTTGGTTCTACCAACATAAAAAACAAATAAATAAATCCAATCTAAGTCATTTTTCAATCATTTATGATGTTAGTTATAATAAAATTTTATAAGGGGGAATCGATAGTACCACTGGAGGAAATAATCAGCACAAGGCAATTGCAGATGATCATGAAGCACACTAATTAAAGCTTCTAGTTCGTGTTGTCATTAGAATAGTTCAACTTTTGTTGTAGATAACTCCATAACAAAAATATTTTCTGTAACTGCCAGCTTCTAAATGAAAATACAAAGAATACCATAGCTACAAAAATAACAAAAGATTGGAGCATGCATTGTAAATTGTTGAGAGCTACATTAAAACATCTTGCAACAATAAACTAAACCCTACCAAGGCAATTAAAATGCTAAATACCACTTCTTGTTCTCATAGGCATAATTGCATTGTAATAAATTAGAATAAAAAATTCAATGCAAGTACTTGATGCTTATATCTATACTTTCAATGAGTATATGCATTCAAATTTCTATCAAATATGATTTTTTTACTTGGAAAATTTTTGAGTTTGATAAATGGAGCATTTGAAGTTTATCAAATAAATGTAGGCACAATTATTGTACTTTATACAATGTAATTCATAAATCATCACAAGTAGGCCAATCGGACCAATGCATGAGATACTTTTATGTCTATCATCAATAATGTGCATAATCTCATCATTCATAACGACATTAGGAATAAAATAAATAAATCTATGTGCTTGACGCTAAATATGAATACATTGTGATATGGAAACAGTGGTTTATCAAATAAGGTTAAATTAGTTATATTGATAACTCGCTGATACTAATGCTTACTGAATTCGTTAGTTTATAAGTATCTGTTCCAATACATTATTTGATTTTATACGTTTCCTTTTTCATGCTGTTAATTTCGTTAAAACCCCTGTGAAGAACCTCTTAGGATTTAGATATTTCATTAACTCATCATGTGGATTGAATTCAATATTTCTCATGGTCACATTAAGAATAGATTTATAAATGCATAATTAATAACTATTTTCCTGTGAATATCCTCATTTGAACATGTTTATGTTATGCAAGAAACTCACCCATTTTCAGAAAAGCCTTCACCATTTAAGATTATTTTATATAATTTCTTCTATTCGAATAATTTGAGGTCTATACTCTATAGTATTTGAAATTATTTTTAGTTTGGTTTTCACTATTCATGATGATCTACTTTTCGGAAAGGAAGCTGAAAGTTCAAACATAACGAGGATGAATGAAAAAGAGATGAAAATAAATGTTGGAATGAGAATTTTAATATCATATGTCAAATAAGAAGTTGCTAGAAAGCTTGTTTTGCTCATTCTTACAATGGGTAATTATACACAATTTCACTGAGAAAAAACTTGGAAAGTACTAATTATTATCATATAATTTTTCTTATTTAATACATGCATATGTAACTTTTTCCATTTCTTATTTTGTGGTGTTATTACTTAAATGATTTTTATTTTGCGTCACATCATATGCTACGTTAGTAAACCTAGAACCTTTTGTCCAACATCAAGATCCTCTTTTGTGCTTCCTTCATGAGCATACCATGCTTAGCTCTAGGAGTGTGCTTTAAAGCTCTTAATAAAATCAAATTTTCTAAGGTACTATGGGCTCCGAAAATTCATGATCGCTTCCGTGAGACTCTCTGTATTTTTTTTTAATTTATATTTTGTTGAGAGAGCTTTGGAGGGTCAAAATTTTCAGAGGGCTGATTGGATTGTAGATATGACACTATCCAGAGATTTCACCCGCATTTAGCAATGACTTTTTGATTTGGTGTCAAGGTGTCTCATAGGCGCGCTCCTATGGTTATTTACCCCTCCCGATAACACGAGGGCACTTTTGATTAAGGCTAGTCAATAATAATTTAATATTTAACATATAATAGCGATAGACTTGAGATTTAAATTGTAAAATTCACCACTTAAAGCTTAAAGCGGATGGTGGAGAATGAAGACGAAACCCGATTAAGATCCCATGGTCCATCATCTCGGGTCGCCCTGGTCTCTGATCTACTTATTCAGAGGATGTAGTCGACCCAATCTTATAGAAAGATTCTTGTCAGCAGCCATGAATTCCGTCGTCCAAGAGATCCCTGTTGATTTGGGATGAGTGTTTGTCTAAGGAAAAAAGATTACGTCGATTTTAACTAATAAAAAGTTTTGTGTCAATCAATTATATCCTTATGATTCACGACTCAAAGGGTAAAAAAGCATTGAGGAACATCCAGGCTGCAACCATGACCGTAATATAATAGTGTCATTTGGCGATAATCACCCAGTCAGAGGACTCTGATCATAATTGTTATTTGTGGTGTCATTTGGCGGCAGAACCACACGGATAGAGAACTTGAGTCACATCATTTCTGCATGCAATTACTTTAGTTGTGAAGATATTGATACATTTGATGTGACATTAGCCCTTTGTGAGCCGATATCAATCAGAAGTTTGTCAGTCTCGAGTGTGGGGGGGGGGGGGGGTGGATAGAATTTGTTTAAGTCTTCTGTGATTTATCTTAACTTGAATATTTGATTGATGATTTTAAAATTTTATTTAAAAGATTGACCCCTTCGGTTAAAATTTTCAATCAACACGGCCATCATCGGATCATCATCGGGGAATAGAATGTTTAAAATATAAGTCATGTTTAGTCTTTTAAGATATAAGTCATGTCGACTCCTTTCTTTAAAAGGAGGATGTTTGGGCTGGGTGATTTGAACTTGTAAATTTTCATTTTAGGATTTGGTCATTTATTTTGAATTTACTAGGCTCATCAACTTCAGTCCTTGCGAGGAGAAGGATCAGACTAGTTGGAGTTGAACTTACAACCCTATCCTATACACAAGACGGTTAGATTAGCTCGCGTAGTATTCTCAAACCTAGTATTTGGACATTTTATACCTTGGTTGGAACACATGCGGACATTTGAATATCTTTTTATAAGCTTTAAAGACTTCCATGAATTTTAAGTCATTAATTTAATATGAACTTTACAAAAGATCTCAAGTGGAACCCTTCCAAGTCTTAAAAGCGTGGGATCACATTTCAAGGTATCGCATTTGACTTGGGGGATAACCATTAAATTTTTATAATTTGAAATCATTTGGAACCTAAAATATTTGCGTAAGTATATGCTTTTATGCTTTTATTTGACTTAATATTAATTAAATTAATTAAATTTAATTATAACATCAATAATAATAATAATCTTTTAACCTCAACAGGTACAATTCCTATGTATTTACATATCTAACACCTAAAATTTACTTTTACATATTTATACCACCTAAATCCTTCATATCACATATAATACCTCTATTTTAACATTTAAAACGTGAAATACATCCTTTCATGAATAGTTAAGGTGGCATATATGTAAAAATTGAAGTTTAGGTCTTTAGATACGAAAATGCATTGGAATTTGAGTGGTATGTATGTAAATCTTCCTTTATTTTAAAGTGAGCATAGCCATTTATTTATTGCTTCTTACATGCTGTTTGGAAAGACTAAACAGTAAACTTTCGTGTTTCGCAATCGCGTGTTCCTGTCAATCTTCGAGCAGGTAAAAGGTTGCGGAGAAGCGTCATGCCAGTCCCTCTTTTCGGCACCCATTCAAGGTTATTTGCTCGGAATCTTGTCCGCTTGCCTCTCTGCCCTCGCCGGCGTTTACACAGAATATCTGATGAAGAGGAACAATGACAGCCTTTACTGGCAAAATGTGCAACTCTACACGTAGGTATTTCTTTCTCCCTCCTTCAATTTGTAGCACGGCTTTACTTCATAAAGTTTTGGGACATTTGCATACATACCACACAATTCTTATGTATTTACGTATCTAACACCTAAACATTCTTATTAACATGCATATAACACGCAAATATAGAACTTCACATTAAAAGTAACACCATCACTACATTTTTAAAAGCAAAACACACATTTTTCTTGCATGGGTTTATTTTAAGAAAGTGTAGGAGAAGGAAGAAGAGGAAAGCAGTAGAACGGCAGCTATGCTTAGAGAAGAAAGGGAATTCCCACACTCTAGTTTTTAGATATATAAATAGATAAGAATTGTGTGGGTATTTATGTAAATTTTCCGAAAGTTTTTCTGGAGTTAATTTCCTTACTATGTTGGTTGTTTCATATAAAAATATATCAGATTCGGCGCGATCTTTAATATGGCAAGGCTTCTTTGGGATGATTTTCGATGGGGATATGAGAGCGGACCTTGGTGGCGACGCCTTCTCGATGGGTACACATTTACAACATGGATGGTTGTACTGAATTTGGGATCAACTGGATTGCTTGTGTCGTGGTTGATGAAATTCGCCGACAATATTGTGAAGGTAGTTTTTTCAGAGTATTTACATATCTACCACCTAAATTTCAATTTTTTGCATACATAGCACTATCTAACACCCGCCTAAGTATTTAACTTTAATTTTTACATACATACCTCCTTACCTATGTATGAAAAGGTGTGTTTCACTTTTTAAAAGTTAAAATGAAGGTACTTTTGATGCGATACAGAAGATTTGGATTGGTATAAATGTAAAAAACAAAGTTGAGGTGTTTGATCCCCACCCCCATTTTTTTTGTTCTTAAATGTTATAACTAAATAATCTTATCCAGTTTTAGTTATGTTGCAAAACTCTTTGCATGCATCTAGAAATGTGCTGCAAATGTAGGATAGAAATAAGTGGCATTTACGTACATACCACCCAATTCTTATTTATTTACATATCTAACATTTAAACCATACTTTTTATATTTATACTGCTCAAATGTTTCATATCACATAACATGTACCTACCACCATTTGAACTTTTATAAAGTGAAATACACCTATACATGCATGGGTAATGTTGCATGCATTTAAAAATTAATGTCTGGGCGTTAGATAGGTAAATACATAAGGATCGAGTGGTATGCATGTAAATTCAATAATTTTGAGATCATCATGGCCCAAATTTCATTTGAATATCGTTGTGCTTTATTATTCGAAGTTTTTCTTGTTATATAACTTAATGTTCCAGAAATATGTTGGTTTTTCTTCGTGTGATCTATTATAAAACTTGATGCATTTTGGCGTGGTACCCTCGGACAAAGTTTTTAAATTTGCTGCAAATTAATTTCAATTCTAACTTTACATAAAAAACCAATCTACCAGGTCTACTCAACTTCAATGGCCATGCTGCTGACAATGGTTCTCTCTGTCTATCTCTTCAATTTCCAGCCCACCGTGCAGGTAAATTTTGCGTTTTGCATTCTAATTATTTGCATATTTAAATCTAATTAGTTTGATTTTCTTCCTCTCTTCAAAAATCATGATTTTTCATCAGTTAACCTTCAATTATTTATTTTGTTCAGCTTTTCTTGGGCATTATAATCTGCATGATTTCATTGCACATGTATTTTGCACCTGTTCATATGCTTGTTGATTTGCCTGCTACATCAAAGTCAGCCTCAAGCACTCTAAAAGAAGTAATTATTGCAAACCAAGAATAACTACGATGTAAGATTTTTTCTTTTTTTCAGACCAAAGATTTTGCAAGAATACCCTGATCAAAATTTGGTTTTGTTCGGGTTTTCAATTTTTGAATTTGCTTTGGTATTCGTGCATAAAGCAAATTTAAAATATTTTTGAAGTTCTCATAGGACAATTTTGACCAAAATATCATGGAAAAAATATTACATACATCAGGAGTCTTGATGGAGAACTGCATCAGGACTCCAATGAAATTACGTCGCGTCACACGACGGATCCACTAAATAAAAAAAAATTATATACTTTAATGTATGGTCCGCCTCCTCCGAACCCGTGGCGCAATTTCATTGCAGTTCTGTTGCATTTTCTCATGTAGTACTTTTTCAATATCATGACCCAAATTTTTTTGTAGGGGCATTTAATACTCTTGTGCGTTTACATACCACCCAATACTCGTGTATTTACATATATAATATATGAACTTTGTTTTTTTACATTTATGCTGTCTTCATCTTTCATATCATATAAAAAATGTCACTGACATTAAAAAGGTAAAAGTCACCTTTACATGCATAGGTAAGGTGGGCGTATATGTAAAAATTAAAGGTTTATGTATATAAATATATAAGAATTAATTGGTATGTACATAAATCTTTCATTTTTCTATTCCAACCTTTTTTTTTTTTCATCAATTAACTAAACTAGTTGTATTTTCCACTTAACTCTTTACAGTTTACACTCCAAACCCCAGTTAAATGAAATACGCCTTATAGGAATGGTGGTCGAAGCATTCTGAGGGTATATGGTGTAATAAAAAAATATATGGTGCATGGTAAGTAACGTTGCGCGCATTTCTTTGAAGGCTATTTATGTAATAACAAAGACTGTTGACTTAATGCTCTTTCAGGATTGCGCATTTCTGATATAAGAAGTGATGTGAACGGTAGGGATAGGGGTGTAAACGAGCAGAACACGAGCGAGCCAAGCACAGCTCGTGTTCGGCTCGTTTATATTTCGAGCTCAAAAAGTGTGTTCGTGTTCGGCTTGTTTGCTTAACGAGTCGAACACGAGCTGTTCACGAACAAGAAGTACTTTTAACAACCCTAAGATGTAGCCATAAGACAATAAGGATTTGAGCAAGATTTAAAATTTATTATTTATATTACAACATCATTTGAATCTAATTTAAAAATTTTTATTCTATTTTCTTGATCAATATTTTAATTGATTATAAATCTTTGTAGCCTTGTAGTCAATTAGATTTTATTCTCTCTCTCTTTCTCTCTCTCTCTCTCTCTATATATATATATATATAAACTTGATGAGTAGTATTTCGAGCCAAAACGAGCCGAACACGAACGAACACATCTCAGTTCGTGTTTGGCTCGTTAACTTATCGAATGAAATTAACGAGCCGAACATGAGCTTCTTAACGAGCCGAACACGAGCTGTTTGCGAACAACAAGCCGTTTTGACAGCCCTAGGTAGGGATGACCATAAAGGGACTCTTCCAACGTCACAAAAATAATATTTTTGATATTTTGGGGCATATAGGTACAATACAAATTTTGTGTGTATTTGCATATCTAAAATCGACACGTCACATTTTACATTTATACCAACCAAACCTTTAATACCACATGGAAAATATCACCATTTTAACATTCAAAAGGTGAAAGTTCACTTTTTCATGCATATGTAGGGTGGCATATATGTAAAAATTGAAGTTGAGGTGTATGATATGCAAATACATAAGAATTGAGTGGTATTTATGTAAACCTTTCAATATTTTTCATCCCATTTCAGTAAAATTGTGATGCTCATTGGGAAAGGGGGCTTAGACAATGAACCACAAATTAAAATTAAGAAACATTTACATACATACCACCCAAATCTTATGTATTTACGCATCTAATTCACCTAAACTTCAGTTTTTGCCCGTTTTGCCTTATGTAGGTATGAATTAAAAGTTAAAATAGTGATATTTTTGATGTGATATAAAAGATTTAAGGGACAGATAAAAAGTAGTTAGGTGTTAGATATATAAATACATAAAAATATAAGGTGGTTGATGTAAATGCCTCAAAATAAAATTATGAATATATGATGCAGTTGAGTAGTTGTAATTAACTTAAAAGAATCTAAACTAATTGAATCATTATCTTAATAAAAAATTCTTAATCTGCAGACTGCAGTTGAATCCAACTCAAGATCTTATTTTTCTAGTAAAGTGACAAAATGGTTACAATTATTTATACGGAGCTGTTTGTGTCAGTTTATAAGACATTTTGTATTGGGGTTAGAAATAATTCTGGGGAGTATAATTAGAGTTTAAATTTAAATAGTCTAAAATTATTTTGATATTTACATAAACTCTGGGAGAGTATAATTAGAGTTTTTGCCTGTGTCGCCTTATGTCAGAGCTTGCTCGCTCAACGCAGCTCCATCATGGATTCACTACATCCGTTTAGAGTGTAAATGAGCCGAACACGAGCGATATCATGCTCAGTTGGTGTTCGGTTCGTTTATACTTCGAGCTCAAAAAGTGTGTTCATGTTCGGCTCGCTTGTGTAGCGAGCCGAACACTAGCCGTTCACGGAAAGAGTCGTTTTGACAGCTCTAATCACATAGTCATAAGATGTTAAGGATTGGGACAAGATTTAAAACATCATCTGAACTTCGTTTGAACACTGAAAGCCACAGGCACGTTTGTTGTCCATGTCACTTTCTACGCCTTCATTTTCCTTCTAATTATGGCACCCATTATCTCTTGTTTTTTATTCAATGATATTTGCTTTTAAATTGGAACCATATTAATTTGTGTTTCTTCCCGCTGAACAATTTATATATATATATATATATTGAAATAAAATTAGAAGTTTATGATTCATCCTAATCAATTTCTATCGATACGTCCTAATTCAATTTTTCTAATAAAAGAACATAAAAAAATTTTCAAATTTTATATTTAAGTGCCGTCATTATTCAGGTGGCATTTACATACATAACACACAATTCTTTTGTGTTTATGTCTCACACTTTAAACTTACATATTTACACATACATCACTCAAATCTTTAATAGCACATCAAAATCACATTACTATGATTTATTAAGAATGAAATAAGTATTTGTATGTATAGGCTTAAAGCACCAGTGTTAAGTGTTATGTATAATACGTTTGTCGGTTTAGAGCAACAAATGATAAAATATTATTTAAAGAGGGGCAAAAGATCAAATTGTACTCCATATAAATTAAAATATGAATTTGAAAGGAGGAGAGGCAATTAACAACTTCAACAACATTTGTCATTTGACATGTCAAGGCGATTGGCACAATTCTCAAAGCATTTTTTGACCAAGAGCCATTCAAACTCAAATTCAAAATTATTCATAACTCTGATTTAGCAAACTTACTGTCAAGCAGATCGACTCGACGAGACGGGCCCAAGAACACCAAAATCGATCAAATCCGAGTCAGATTAGGCTCAAATCAAACTATTAAGTTGTTTTTTTAGATCTTTTGGTACCTAATTGAAAGGTCAAATATATTACAAATCTGACATTCTTATTGGGTGTGTTTGGGGGAGGTGGTGTGACGGTGGTGTGGTGCCCCACCACAATTTTTATATTTGGTAAAACTACTTTTTTCTTATGTTCTCTTAATAAAACTGCAACTAAAAGCTTCACAACTACTTCTTTCAACTATTGTAGTTGTCCCAAACAATCCCATAGTCAAATTGAGCATCTCAACAAGACGAGTCCAACGAGCCTAAAATCACTCAATTCTCAAATTCTTAAATGCCCGCAAAATATTGTCTGATCAGAGGAATCTCTCTGGGTCCTTAAATAGAATGATTTTCCTTTCTTATTTGCTGGAGAGCCACTGCCAAACTCTATAAATAAAACCATAAATCCTTGAGCTAGGCCTTGAACTAAAAGAAGAGTTAGACTTGGAGCCAGTTCACAAATAAAAAAATATATATATTGAAATCTAGTGTCTTTCTATAGCGAAGGCCCGACGAACGCTTCCCACTTCTACAGTCATCGACCAATACTCGTCGGCTACCGTCGACCACCATCAACTATCCCCCGCTCGTTTCAACAAAAACCCTCGCAAAGTAGCAACATACACTATAAAATATAGAAACATTGTGTCGAATAAAGACTAACTTCACAGAATCACGAGGCGCCATATAGAGTAGCGCATTATCACGAGCACCACGCAATGACGTGCCTCGAAAACGGTGCATCGAAGTCATGACTATTACTCCCTATTACAACTCTCTCAAATCGTTGTGTAATGAATTCTTATGATTACAATTATTACACTTCGTGATGTACTCATCAATTTATAATAGGCCTTTCTAATTGGGCTAGATCTTATAATATTTTTTCTTTTCACTTCAATTACCTAATATTAAGACTTTAAATAATCATCTTACCGCTAACTTAAGTGTAAAAATATATGAATTTTTTTTGTTTAGGGTTTAGATTATCCTAAACATAGATATAATTAGCAAATAAGTTCAAAATCAACAAAAAAAAAACGAGTGCGTTATCACCGCGAACAGCATGTGGGGCCGAAGCACTTGCACGCCAGCCTGTCTCGGGAGAAGCAACGCTATAAGGCTCTCACATGGTGTGGGGCCCAACTTCCCCGCCAGCTCAGCCGTACACCTTCGTCACACAATCAACACCGTCCATCGTCAACGGCACTCCAGCTCTTGTAACGGCGAGTAACTTCACATAGGATTCTCTCTGTCTTCCTCCCATTATATCATTCCCAATTTCGAAATCCTAGCCATTAATGCGACGAGGAAGCTAACCTCTAGTCCTCTCGGTCTCCGATCCTTCCCTACCGTTCCTTAGGGAAGAGGAGAGAGATCCTCAGATCCATCGATCGCTCAGGCCAGGATCCACGCGTTCATCTTTGTCGTTGGAGATGGCGGGAAACCCTAGTTTCTCTTTCGTCGCTCTGGCCATCGCGACCTTCATTGCCAGCTTCTTCTTGCGGGCGGCTCAAGCGCAGGCTCCTGCTCCTGCTCCGACCAGCGACGGTGATCAGTCCCTTCTCTCTGAATCTCTCACCCTTTGAGCCGCCACATTTCTTCGATCTCTCTTTCCAAATTCTTCAAATCGAATATTTCTGACTTGCAGGAACTTCAATCGATCAAGGAATCGCGTACATCCTGATGCTGGTAGCTCTGATTCTCACCTACGTCATCCATCCATTGGATGCTTCTTCTTCCTACAGGCTTTTCTAAATCTTGGCGTCTGGGTATTGAGGAAAGGAGAAGATGGAAGAGTTGTGGTATGATGCTTGTGTAAAGACTTTTTTTTTTTTTTTCATTGTTTGAGGCTTGAACATCTCGCTGATTTGATTTCTTTTGCTTTGTTTCTTGCCAATGTGGGCTAACTTTCTTTCTAGTTCTCTGTGATTAGTTTGGGTGGTGTCCACATTTTTCTCCTGTTGATCTTGTCCTAAATATTATTTATTATATAGCTTTTAATCTATGTACTTCATGATCTGCAATTGAATATTTTTGGGAATTTTTTTACTTTATATTTATGATCTACATGTGTTAGATAATGTGCAAGAAATACAATTTTCCTCCCTTTTAGATGGCAATTTTCCTCCCTAGCTTCCACCAAAAGATGCTGACTCAAACAAAGCTCTAAACTTTGATTTTTACATTTTAATTTTATATCACATAAAAAATGCAACTTTTTTAACTTTTAAAAAAACTGAAATACACTTTTTCATGCATAGATTGGGTGGCATATATATATAAATTGAGTTTAGGTTGAGATTGGAGTTTATCTGATCATTCAATGGCTGATTCAATGCCCCTAATTGTGCTTCAAAGGTTTGATTTGGGCTTGATTAGAGTGATATTAAATCAATTTCAAGTCATTGTGATCTTCCTCCAGAGACTTTTTATGATTATAAATTTGA